TATTATTTTATTTAAAAAATACTAAATACAATTAAATTTTTCAGGCAAATTTGCCTGGAATACAGTTTAAGGGATAAATTACATATTATATATATATTACATATATATTATATATACTATATAATTTGGTTTAAGCTGCAGATAAATTAGTCTAAATTTTTTTTCTTGCTATTGTATCTTAGAATATAAAATTTAAATAGATTCTTTTCTTTGTAAAGGTATTTTTTTACTGTAGAAGAATTAAATTAAATTTTAATAAAGTCAGGGGCATAGGCTCACTATTAATATTTAAAAAAAATTATATATATGCTATATAATATATATAAAGTTTTAATTTAAAAGTATAATAATTTAATAAAGTAGATAAATTATTATTTTTCAAACAGTATATTAAGTATTCAAATTTTACTAAAGTTAAAATTTTAATTTTTGCTTGTATTATAGTGATTATTTAATTGTTTAATTAGTTAAAATAAGATATTTATAATTATAATTATACTAGCAAAACTAAAAAATCTAAAAATATTTATTTATATTATAAAAATTTATATATTCAATTTGTTTTGTATTATATAGTATAATTTATTTGTATTACACTATTATACTATTTGTTATTCAACAATAAATTAAAATACAGTCAGACCTTTCTATAATTACCAAGTCTGTTGCACTCTATTTTGGTAATTGTATAGAGGTATGACTATAAACAAATATCAGATTAATATCACATGATCTTTAGCCAATCAATGATTAATTGATAATTTATTAGTCATAATCATCCTACATCTAAAAGTTTTTTTTGTACTAAGTTAACCATTTTTGAGTCTCTAAATAAAGCTGTAGAGCTCATTAAACAATATAAAGAATTTTTCTATAGTTGGTAAATTGTTTTTCGAAAATATCTCAGCATCTACTAAGCTGATTTTGATGATTTAACTGCTATTAGATTTATCTTAATGAGCTCTACAACTTTATTTAGAAACTCAAAGATGATTAACTTAGTCAAAAAACCTTTTAATTAATAAATTAGTGATTATAAAGAGATTTTTTATTATAAATTTGATTTAAAAATTAGATTTTAAGGTGATAGTGATTATAAGTAATTTGTGCCTATAATAAGATTTTTTTACTATATTTTAAGTTTGTTACACAAAATTGGATACTTAAATAGAGGTTTGACTATATGGGGTATGATTATAGAGAGGTCTGATTGTATTTAGTATAATATAAAAAATATAAACTAGTATTAAATAATATAAATCTAAAATAGCAAAGACACTTAATATGTCTGAAATTCAATTTTAGTTGCGCATATGAAGAAACATTGAAGCCTAATAAGGCTTAAAGATACCCATTCTTTCAAATTATTTACCTGTTTCAGAAGCACGTTGCTTCAGTTCTTGAATAACTCATTTAATCAACTTTGGACCGAAATCTTCTTCCGTCAGAATGATAACAGACGATATCTATATGCAAAATTACAAATTCATTTATGGAAACTTATAAATTGTTTGCGATCCGCGAGCTCCGCAATTTCAAACACTGATTTAATATACGGTACAGAAATGTTTGAAGTCGAATTTCGTGTAACCAATTAATTACTTGAGCTACTTACTTGAACTACTAAAACTGCCAAAAGGAGGAATGATGGAATGCCTATTTGTTTTTATGAAAATTTGCAATTCGTTAATTTTCGTAATTCGATTTTAGTACTTTAATACACATTGTTGCCACTTTTGCATGTATCAATATATGGTTATTTTGTTCAAAGTTTGCTTGTGTCGCGATAGCGATAGATACAACTCCCCTTTGCAACACATAACCTTGCAAAACTTCCTTTGGATGCATTTCCAGGCATAACCTACATAACTTTTCCCTCTATAGTAACACTATCATGTTTTAAATTTTCCTGTAAAGAGATCTACCTTATTTTTCACACATTAGGGCTTTCCTTCGACAACCATCAATTTTTTTATCCTTGTTCTTTTAGACTGCGCCAAACGCTCCTTAGCTGTCATATGGTTGCTAGAAAGCATCTCGGATTTCTGTCGAAACGAGGTGCTAGCAAAAAAAAACAGATACCATAAACATTGACTAAAAACTCCTTATTCCTTCTTTTTCTTCCTTCTATTTACCTCAAAATACCGTTATATACAAAATCCTCCTTTATTTTGATATTTATTATTAGCTCGTACTTAATCTACTTATAATGGCTACGAATACAACTTCCAATCATCTCACTCCTCCTCCGTCAACACTGGGCTACATAAATAACGAAAAAACTGACGACTCAATAGCGCCGATTCCAATACAAAGAAATCCCCCCTCACCTAGAACTCAATCTAAATCTATATTAACGGTCGCGCTTCAAAAGGCCCAGAAAGCTGTTCACTTTGATGAGGCAAACAATGTTGCAGCCGCACTTGAAGCTTATAAAGAGACTGTTGAATTATTATCACAAGTTATTGGCAATGCTGCAAACGAGGCAGATCGTCGGAGGTTACAACTTATCGTAAGTCTAACAGTTTTTTTTTCTTTAATCATTTTAATGAAATTAATGAAATATGAATTCTTGGAATTTAAAAAAAAAAAAAAAAAAAGATAATCAATAAAAATAAATAAAATAATAATATAAAATAATAATATAAAAAAATAATATAAAATAATAATATAAAATAACAGGAAATTAAAAAAAAAAAAAACACATTGATATCTAATATTTATAATTTTTATAATTACAATAGCACGATACGTATGCAGATCGAATACGATTACTCTCGACCATAGTTCTAGAAGCCGAAGATGATAGTGCTAGTAATGTAGATAATGAGCCAGACATAAGTGAATATATACTGAATAATGTTACATCACAATATTCTAATCGTACAACTGAATCTAATGGTCAAAAATCTATA